GCCCCTGCCCTGCCCGGCTCTATGCCTGCCCAGCCCGGCTCTGCTCTGCCCAGCCCGGCTCTGCCCCCGCCTAGCCCGGCTCTGCTCTGCCCAGCCCGGCTCTGTCCCTGCTCTGCCCCTGCCCAGCCCGGCTCTGCCCCTGCCCAGCCCGGCTCTGCCCCTGTCCAGCCCGGCTCTGCCCCTGCCCAGCCCGGCTCTGCCCCTGCCCAGCCCGGCTCTGCCCTGCCCCTGCCCTGCACTGCCCCTGCCCTGCCCGGCTCTATGCCTGCCTAGCCCGGCTCTGCCTTGCCCAGCCCCGCTCTTCCCCTGCCCCGCTCTGCCCCTGCCCAGCCCGGCTCTGTCCCTTCCCAGCCCTGCCCAGCCCGGCTCTGCCCCTGCCCAGCCCGGCTCTGCCCCTGCTCTGCCCCTGCCCAGCCCGGCTCTGCCCCTGCCCAGCCCGGCTCTTCCCCTGCCCAGCCCGGCTCTGCCCCTGCTCTGCCCCTGCCCAGCCCGGCTCTGCTCTGCCCAGCCCCACTCTATCCCTGCCCAACCCTGCTCTGGCCCACTCCTCTCCCACAGAATACTCTCAGGAAAAACTATTATAACACAATGTTTAAATAAGCATTTAATTAGGATTCCATTAGTATTAATATTGCTTTCAATTCCAAAAAGGTTAATTTCCACTTCTTTGCAGATATTTCAAAGTACAATATTAACTTCATACAAAATGAGCAATTAAGCAAACACCATTATTTCACATTCTTCAAAAAATACAAATTCATATTTACTCTTTTGGGTTTTGGAGATGCTCTTCCTTTGGAAGTACTGTACCTGTAACTAACATCTTCACATTGCTCAATGTAAGCACATTTGTTGCCATGTTTCAGAGTTAAATAAATTCCTTTATTACCATACACACATTCTTGAGAAACTGGGGTTTAGTTCAGCTGTCTCCAAAGCCCCAGGCAGTGCAGCCCCCCAGCCCCAACAGCTCAGCTGGAGCTGGAGCTGCCCCCGGTGTGGAGCCAGGCTGGGGTTTGGGCTGGGTGAGGCAAAAACAGAGCAGGGTCAGCCCGAGCAGCGGGAGGACACGAGAGTCACAAACCAGGAACACCAGCAACTGCAACTACAGCACTGCAAACACACCCTCAAGTCTGCTGGAAAAGGTCATGTGAAAAAAATCTTTTTTTAAGAAAAAGTAGAAACTGCATTTGAGAAAGTGTACACTGCATAATGAACCAAATTTTGGCCAGCTTGCACACCACTGCAGCATGGTGTGGGGTTTCACCTAGTTCCAAAAACACACACTCAGACTATGTACACTACTACATAAATATCCAGTTTAATTTGCATTTCTCAGTGCAGACACAGAATCCAACTTCTAGAACATGTGATAAGATATCAAGACAAGACACAAAAAAGTTAAAAGTTCAGCCCTGTCCTCGGGAATTGACTACAGGTAACATTTATAAAAACTCGACATTGCTTCCAAAATATGTTACGGAAAAAATAGTATACAATTAAAAACTCTGCAGTCAGAAATTCATAGGGTTTATTAAAGACATGCTCTTCATTTTTGCCTTACAGTCCAAACTGACTCCAGCTAGCTCAGGTAACTCCTGCCAAGAACTTTTCACCCACAGATCTCCAGTCATTTCATGGAGACAACAGCCTGGCCCGGCTCCGTGGGGAGGATCCGAGGCAGCGCGAGGTTCTGAGCCCCAGCCAGCGGTGGAAGTGACACCAGAGCTGCTCTGCTCTGCCCCACTGACCCGGCTGCCTCACCTCAGATCACCCCAGCAACAGCTGCTCATCTCCAGCCACCCCAAGGACAGCCCCCGGGCTCGGCTCCCCTGCAGCTCCACGCCAGGGGCCCTGGCTCCAGCCCTGCACCCGGTTTATCTCGGAGGAGGAGTGCTGTGAACAGCTCACAGCGTTGCTGCACGTCAAGGACAACGTGGATGGCTACAGCCATGCCACCCCCAAGAAATAAGGCAGTAACAGGACATCAGAAACCATCTTGAAGACAAATTTCAAAGGTGCAACATGCCTGTTTGAAAGCAGCTCGTCACTTGTGTTCCCACGTGGGTGACAGAACGAGGACAGGGGAAGGAGGACACACATCAAGGGACGCAGCATGTCCAACAGGAGTGACAAGCAGCCCCCAGAAAGCGTGAGAGAAAAGGCTGCTGAAGCACAGTGCTCTCAGAGGGTTATTTGCATAGATTGGACGTTTGCTAACGATGCATAATTTGTCTGGGGCACGGGGAAAGGGCAGCACAGCACCCACCACACCTGTTCTGTCAGACAGACACACACGGACCACACGGGACAAGGATCTTTAGCTACAGGTATTGCACCAAGTTAAGTGCTCATCTTTGCACACCCCTGTTAACTTTTACTCAGAGCAAAAATAAACTTTGTGAAAGTATATACAAAAGAAATTGCAGCAATTGGGTTAAAGATAAAATAACCTAAAGTGCATTTTAGATACCAGTATGAGGTTCTGCGAACTTGTTTTCCTGGGGACACTCAGCATTACACAAGTGTCCAACTCGTACTTTGTTCCATGTAATTCAGTACCAGCATTCAATCAGTGCTGATTTTCCACCCCACCCCCCCACCCCCCACCTACAAGCACAAAAAGCAATTTCTCCAACCTTCAGCTGCACGCCAAGTCTGCTCGCTTGGGTCCTTGCTTGGTGACCAAAGCTACCAAAGTCAGTAACTTGACCCCTTCTACATATTTGAGCTTCTACACCCATCTAGAAACTATGAGTGACCAAGTAAACCCCCACTAGCACAAAACAGGTGACCTAGAGCAGTGCACTTTTGCTCTCTGACTGATAATTAAAGGGGTTCATGCAGACTTTGTAGAGGCAGGCATGCTGTTCCCAGAGACTCCAACACATTTACCTTTTTCTGGGAATCCAGGGCAGAAACTCTCCCTTTCGATAACAATGTAATAGTGAATATACTAAATGCTGGGGCAGCAAGGAGAGGACAGGAAAATCTCTGGCCTTGTAGAATCTCAGGGCTTTGCTGCCCTTGGATCTCCTCCCATCCCAGCATGGCACAGACTGCCCTGGAGCACAGTCTGATCACAGTACTGGGGATGATACAAATGTGAAAACATCTCAGACACACGCAGCACAAACACTCTGGAAAGCAGATGGGACAATAAACAACAACAGCACACACCTGGAAAACACAGTGGATGCACAGCCCGTGTGCTCACACAATCACATGCTCCTGCCTCAGCACAAGCTTTAACCAGTTCCACCTGAATTGCAGCCTGCCTGATGCATGTATAAGAGAGAAATGGCAAACCCAATGCACCAAAGAATCAGCAGGACATAGTGCTTTTCCTGGAACACAACAAAAAAACCCAGCAGCTGTGAAGAGAAACAGCAGAGATTGACCCTGGGCACTGCTGCCCATCACTGCAGCTTCACATTGAGCTTCCCAGTTCAGAGACTTTGGTAGTTTCTTCTACTCATTTCAGTGACAAAAGAGTTTCTGAAGATGCTCTCTGGTCCAACCAGGAGCATGTTTTTAGGTTGACTAAGTCATAAGTAGCAAAAGTAAAAAAGCCTCCCTGAAGGCTGCGAAGGCTCAGAAGCGGTTGCTAAATTGCCCAGCTGTCACAGTGCAGGCCACATCTGGGACCCCTGTCCCCATCAGAGGTAACCCCCACAACTCCTGGGGAATCTTCACACTCCTGCATCAGCAGTCTCCCACAGGCACACATCCACACCCACTGACCCTCAAACACCACAGCTGCTCTTGGCCAAAGAAAATGCCCGAGGCCACAGCGAGAGGCACCAGAGGGACCCCAGGCAGCACCCGCTCCCCTCCCAAGTGGAGCTCCAGGCAGAGCAGCTGGCAGGAAACTCCTCTGCGAGGACAGTCCCAACCATGCAGGCTTGGGACTGTGTTTTTTGTGTTCAAAGCTGTTCTTGCTGCCATGCAACTCAACTGCAGCATAAAATGAAGCTGTAGGAGAAAAACAAAGGAGCCACCACCTCGCTGCCCTCCAAGGATTGCCATGACAGGAACAAAACAAGAAATGCTTTGTCAACCTGTTTTGTGGATGCCAAGCCTTGTTGCTGCAGGACTCACAGCCCTGCTACAACAGCCCTGTCACACACCCAGAGGAAACACCAGCAGCACGTGGGATGCCCCCGAGTTCATCCCTGCAGCTGCCAACACCAAGCTCTCTGCCCTGGCACAGAGTGTTCCTGGCACACCCGTCTGTCCTCATGGATGTGGTTCCTTCCCTTCTGCACCTCACAGAAGCTGTGCAGGAGGGAAGGCCAGCTCCCTCCAGTGCCTTTCCACCCGGGCCTGGGCACTGCATTCTCAGGGGAGCAGCACAAGAGGTGGCTGAAGCCAGTCTCAGTGCTGGTCAGGCTACACTGAGCGTGTCACAGGAGGATTTAACACCTGCTGATCACCAGGCAGCACTCACAGGGTTCTCCCTCCCCAGAGGTACAGAGAGCAGCTTTGATCAAAGAGTGAAAGACCTCTATCCACTACAGTTTGTACTCCTAAACTGAGTGCGGGACACTCCCCACTAATTGGCTTACAGTCATTATCTTTGTATCTCACTAATGACAACACTGTAAACTGAATAAAGACTATTTAATATTTTTTCCTTTAACACAAGAAAACTGACAGCCAAAGCCAGAAAGATGGATAAAAACTATAAAATTACAATTTTAAAATAATGCAGCATAAATAAACCATTTAGAATGAGACTGCATTTATTGCAACATTACAGGCTTTTTGGTGGAAGGGGGGGGTTTGGATTTGATTTACCCTGAGTAGGTTAGAATATAGACTCTCAGTTTGATATGAAAAACTATTCTGTTGTGTAACATCTTTTAGTCAAGAAATAGCCCCGTGCACAAAAAGCTGGCATTGCAGTAGGCTGGAGGCAGAGTCAGGCAGAAATTATATAGCTCACTGGGGAAAAAAAAAAAAAAAAAAAAAAAAAAAAAAAAAGGAAAAAAAAAAAAAAAAAAAAGAAAAAAAAAAAAAAGAAGCATGTATGAACAACTGAAGGACAGACTCACTGAATTCAAACTGAATTTATGTTGAATCTTTCTCAAAATTTTCTTAAGGGTTGTTTTTCACAAAAGATGAGAGTAATGAGAGTAACCAGCAAAGGCACTGTGCTCCTGACAGTCCCAGGGTTAGGATGATGACTTGTTGCTGAACAGAGCCTAAGAAATCAAAAGAGCAGCAGGCACCAACCTGACCACACCTGGCACTCACTGCACCCCTTGGAGAGGCCAAGAAAACAGACTGGAGCCAGAGCCAGCTGTGGCTCCGACTGTGCTTCCATGCTGTGACACAGTGTCTGCAACACACTTGAGTCCTACTGGAATTAAATGAGCAGATCTACTAGGGGCACAAGGTACTTGTGCCCTGCTGAAATAAACTCCCCCAAAGCTCCTGGAGGCTTTAGTAGAGCATCAGTACACAGCAAAACCAGGCACCAGCTCCTCATCGGGTACGTGACAATCGCATTCAATCACACTGCAGAGAAATGCTCTCCCCAGCTATGCATTTCCTCCCCCACAGCCTCCTTTCCTGGGCTCCCCTTTAGTGCATGGTTAGTAGAGACATGAGAGACAGATTAGAGACCCAAGAAGTTGTAACAAAGACCCACTTGCTGCCAGTACCTTAATCCCAAACATAAGTGATGTGCAATTGGAGACAAAGTAACCCCCCTTTTCCTTTTAAAAATCTTTTTGCACACGAGTAACCTTAACTTCTGTGTTCACATATGACAAGCAAAAGTGACAGACAGTGCAGCCAAAACAGTTCATATATAACTTAGCTATTTCTTTTTTTTTTTACCTTTTCTTTTTTTTAGATAGAATCTCAAAGGTGGATGTACCTGGGACGTGACTAAGATGACATCCGTGAAGCAGAAATAAGCCACAAAACTTCCAAAGAGGAAGGAATAAGAATCGATCCTTCAGTTTCTGCTTCTAAGGAGAAGGGTTTTACCCTCCAGGTGCAAAGGAAAAATCTGGAACATCTTCACTTAGAGAAGCTGCTATTCAAACCAATTTCTTCCTCACCCTGCAGTAGTGCTTCAATTGGAATTATATTAGATGGGGTTTCAGGGCTTTGGAGGGACAGGAAGTCTGATACATCCATGGCACTTAATGTTTCAGTCTGGGAGTCTGAAGGGTTAACTATCTGACTGCTCTGCCCACAAGGAGGAGGAGCAGAGGAGGAAGGAAAGGTCTGAGGCTGCAGCTGGGAAGCTGGCTGCTCCAAAGCTTTTGAATCAGGTGAGGAACATTCCTTCTTAACGGTGGAGGTGGCTTTGTCCTTGGCAGAGTCTCTGCAGGCACACTGGCACTGGCAGGCCTCCTCCTGCTTTATAATGATAACAGGAACGCTGAGACCAATCTGCTGAACAGGGTTTCCTGAAGGTGAAACAAAGACAAAACACAATGGAACTACATAATTTCACAGCAGGGAGAGAGAAATCAGCTTTGTTAAATTAGTTCAGTGTCACACTTACCTGTGTTACCAGCTACTGGTAATGCAGTGGTAAAAAACACCTTTTCTACTTTTGGAACTTGTGGCTTTAAAAAAAAAAAAAAAAAAAAAGTGTGAATTGACTTGAATCAAATTTCTGCTGCTCATACTCTAAACAGCTATATACATATTCCAAAGAGACACACAGGAAAACTGAGCTTAAAGTATTGTTTCAGTGGTCCTAAAGATTGGGCATAACATCCCCTGCATTATTTGCTGGCAAACTCAGCTTGTGGGTTTTGACCATTCAGTGACTGAATCCTCAATCACTGCTGTGTGTGCTCCCACTGCCTGTACCTGCAGCCACTCACTTGTGTCCACCTACACATGAGAGCCTAAAGTGGCACAAATACTGTCAAAGAGAAAACTCCTGACATTTCAGCTATCCTGATTTACTGGAAAACCACAAATATTCTTTTTCCAAAAAAATCTCTATTTTTTAATCAGTCAAAATTAGGTAGAGATGGAGACTACAAAATGTCTAAATACAGCCTTTATAGTAAGAATCTTTTGTGCTTCTAAGCATTAAAAGCTATACATTAAGGCCCATGTGTATCCCAGGCCTGGTGATGCCCCATCCTCTGTCCTGGATAAACATACTGACATCTGCTGGCAGAAATCCACCACGAGGGGAAAGAAGAAAACAAGATCTTTCTGCACCCTGGGCTTCTCTGTGCTCTACTTATTTCCCTGTCTATTCCAGGGGCTGCATTGCTGATATGTATACACATTAACATGCAAAGCATTATACCACACTGCATCCTGGGGTTTATCTTACAGGTTTGACCCCCTCCCTTTTCAAAAGCAAGGGCTCCAAAGCCCAGCTGGATGTACTGACCATTTGTTCTTGGCTTTGTGGGGAACCAGTGGCACCATTTAAGATCCATTGTAAGTTCTGCTCTCCCATGACAATGCTGGACTGCAGAATGGCGGTGCTTGGAGAAGGAGTAATGGTTATAGTGGGGTTACTGGTCAAAACAGGGTTTGCACCAACAGGCACAGTCTGAACTACAGCTGGCAGGGGCTCAGTGGCACTCGGGGCTGTCGGGGCAGGAGCCCCAGCAACCACTGACAGTCCCTGAACGATGGGCTGCGGCGGAGGCTGGCTGTGCTGCAGGAAGTCTTGGTGACTGGCTGCAAACGGTGTGCTGCGAGGAACAGGCACTTCTGGGGATTGTAAAACAGTTGCAGGATTCCCAAAGGCAGCTGGCTGTGAGCTGGGTGCGATGGAGGAGGGAGCAGCGGGCGCCGCCGAGGCTTGCAGCGCTGCCTGAGCCGGCTCAGGGAGGCCGAGCTGCAGGACCAGAGGGAGGGACAGCGAGGCTGCGTCTCCTGCTGGGGGCGGGACCGCAGCCACCGAGTCTGCGTCGCCGTTAAACCTTTCAATCAAGGAAGCTGCTGAAAGAGAAACAGAAAAAATATAAATACATCTGTTCTCAGCTGGGCTGAATGAACTGCTTTTTCAATGAACTTTTCAGCTGGCTGATGGATTTTTACCAGGTAATGAATTATCACGTTCCTAAGTTCAGAGCAGTGCTCAAAAACAACCCTAGACAGTGAAATCTAAAAGTAGCTGCAAATTCAGGAAGTTGGTAACACTGGGCTCTACATTGAGCCTGATCAGGCTCATCAGCTCTCTCTAACAAGCCTTTTATCAGTTGTGCAGCAAGAAAACAGGACGATGTACACTGTTGAGAGCTCCTGCGCCAGTCCTGCAGGACAGTGTGCTGGGTCACCTCCCCTGTCACACCATGCATTCCACACCAATGAATTTCAACCCTGAAGTTAAAGTTCTTTTTGCCCCTTAGAGTTACGCTGGGCATTAAGCTTCAGCCTGAAATGGTGAATTCAGTACATGCATGCAGAGCTGTCAAAAAGTTCTCTTTAACAGCAGTGCAGATACATCTGGTACCTGTCTGCTGAGAGTCATCCTGGTTTGCAGTGTGGTCTGGGCTCTGAAACATAGACTCGAAGATGCTTGCTGGTGAGATTGTGCTGAGGTCCTGTCCATGTGTCTGACGAACAGAAAACGAAGAGGAAGGCATCAGACAATGTTGTATCTCAGGTCTCCACAAACCCCAGTCAAGCAGTGTGTGCATGTCAGAAACCTCCAAAGAGCCAGCCACCCTCAGGAATGGCAGCACCTATTACTTACATGCTGTAAATTTACACCTAGTTTTTATTACCTGTAACCAAATTTACCAACATAATGAGAAACTCCTACAAAAATAAGTAACTTCTTCAAAAGTGAAATATATTCCTCTGCATCCACTCTTTGTTTAACCCTTATTTCTTGCAGTACTCCATCAGAAACAGACATTAATTTGCTGCCTGCAGAACCTTTTCTGGAGCAGAAAAAAATAGCTCCATTTTGTATCCTGGACTATGCAATTCTAGCCACCCACACTGCTCGAGGAGCAGAATACACACAGGAGCTGCACCCTGCTCCCACACCACAGCACAAAGAACAACACAGCCTCCTCAGCACCTCGTTTTCCTCTGTGTAAAATCCAAGCTCAGTCAAGAGTTATCAAGAAGCAAGAAGACTGTTTTGGTAAAATCAGATGCAGAGCTTTCTACAGCAGGTTGAACTAATCACTGCACACTTTGGGGGACAAAACCAAAGCTCAAATGAGGATGAGGCAATTCCAGGACAATAACTCACTGGATTAGAGTTCTCCCGCAATTCTGAATCTGTTGATATGAGGCTTAAATCACTCAGACAAAGTGAGTGACTTGTATCCTGTGAAAAAGAAAAATAATTTGAATTATGTATTAAAATAATAATGTCATAAATGTTTTAAATTATTTTTGAGAGTCTATGCTTTGTTTATAGGGGACCCAGATTTTGGTTCTAAAATCAAAGGAACAAGATTTTTCAGCAAAGGATATTTAGCAGCTATCAAGGATTCTTAAAATCTCAGTCAAAGTACTTCCAAAAAGTCATATAACCCAGAATTGTAAATTAGCATAGGAACAAATCAACTTTTAGAAAATAAAAATAATAAAACCTTCCCAGTTAGTATTTTTAGTTAGTATCTATTTTACTTCACATGTTTACCCCACAGTATTGACTCCAACTGAAGCACACACAAGGAACAACTGCCCACATGCACATATGGCAAAGCGAGCACTTTGAAAATCCCACTCTTAAATGTTACACCCTAAGAACAAGCTGAAGACCAAATGATTTCTTCCCCAAGGTATGGCTTACACCCACCTAACAAAGAAACATTAAGCATAAGTGCTACTAACCTCAGACACATTGTTATTGGGAAGTGCATTATAGGTATGTCCCTTCTCATGACCTTTCATGTGACTCTTGAGACTGTACTGGGTACTGAAAGTCTTCTCACAGCCATTGCTGGGACAGAAGAAGGGTTTCTCCCCTAGAGGCAGCACAGAACACATGTAACAGACTTAAAAAACATCCAATCAGACACCTGGCAGAGCAATATTTCATACTAACAAGATTTGTAATGTCCCTTCACATATTCAGTATTCCTGGCAGTCCTGCAGGTGAGTGCTTCCATCTCACCATGGGAACTGCCACACAACACAACATTCAGTTGTTGTGCATCATTACTGGTACATTTGTGAAAACATGTTCATTGAATTCAAGACCTGTCCAGCATAAATATAACTGCATAAACAGAAAATTTGGATTGGCCTGACACAGGTGCAGGAGTTTGCACTTGGCCTTTTTAAACTCATGAGGTTCACATGGGCACACTCCTCCAGCCTGCAAAGGTCTCCCTGGATGCCATCCCCTCCCTCACACTTGTCACCTGAGCCACTCAACTCAGTGCCACTCCCATATTATATGCAACTTTAAATTCCTATTAGGATTCTGAGAGTTAGTATAAACTCAAAAAGCTCAATTAAAGAAAACTTTTAAAAAATAACATAGAACTTACCAGTATGTGTTCTAACATGTGTTTTGAGGTGGTGGCTTGCAGCAAAAGCCTTCCCACAGCCATCATGCTCACACCTGAATAAGGCATCAAAGGAGAGTCAGCATCAGCCCCCTTCAATGCATTAGCTACAACCTTAAATCGTGCTTTGCAATAGTCTTGGGCCTCCAAAAAGCAGGCCCAAAGCTCGGTTAGCTAACAGCAGCTGCTGTGCATGCTACACACATCATAGCAGGGCTGTGAGTAGGACTTTAAAATCCAAGCATGAAGGCGGCATTTGGGAGAATGGAATACTCATTGCATCCCAGCAGAGAGCAGCAATGTGCTTTAAAAGATGTTCACCACAGCACAGGTTGATGTTTAAAAAAATACCTTAACTATTCTTGCCTTTTAGGACAATCACTGCACCCACTGTTAAAGGCAGCTGGGGGAGCTCGAGAACAAACAGGCTCCAATGCCAGCCAGCTTCACTTGTTTCTCAGAACACCACTCCATTCAGAGCAGGAACAGCTGCTTTTTGGCACAGGTGTCTCAGTCCCTGAGCCATAGAAGCCAGACCACCAGGCAGCAACTCACCGAAATGGCTTTTCTCCTGTGTGTGTTCGAATGTGCTTCCTCAGGTCACTGTGCGTTGTGAAGTATTTGCTGCAGCCTTCTGATTCACAGTTAAATGTTTTCCCTGTGTGAAGCCTTTGATGTGCTTTCAACCTAAAAAACATGTCCAAAAAATCCCTCTTAGGACTGGTAGGATAAGACAGACCTGGCCTGAGGCAAGCCAGCCTCAATCTTTCAAATCAAAGAAACACAGGATAGGATCAAAGGCTTAACATATCTTGAGCAGATAGTAACAAGCTCATGAAAGAGACTGCTACCACTTCCAAAATTCTCCAGCAAATCTTAGAGACCCTTGTGTCCCTGCACCACCTTCAACACTACTGGAATATAAAGAAGTCACCACAGTTCTGTCATCCTACCCTTTGGACAGCATTGCCACACCTGAGGGGATTATATTCATACCTGTACATGGAAGAAGCAAAACAGTTCTTTTCAAACATAAACACAAAGTAGATGGAACTTGCAGAACACCAACAGCCACACCTACAAGAAAACTTGCCAGAGGCTTCTCACCTGGAATGTTAGACGCATTCTCACCTGTACAGTGCTGAACACCCTCTCACCTGTGCAGTAGTGAACACCCTCTCACCTATACAGTGTGCTGGATACCCTCTCACCTGTACAGTGCTGAACACCCCCTCACCTGTGCAGTGTGTTGAACACCCTCTCACCTGTACAGTGTTGAACACCCTCTCACCTGTACAACGTTGAACACCCTCTCACCTGTGCAGTCCTGAACACCCCCTCACCTGTACAGCGTGTTGAACGCCTTCTCACAGCCCTGCACGTCGCACTCGAAGGGTTTCTCCTTGGTGTGCACCCGGACGTGGATTTTGAGGCTGTAGGAGGTGAGGAAGGCCTTGCCACAGCCCTCCTGGTTGCACACGAAGGTGTACTCCCCCCGGTGCGTCTTCTGGTGCGTGCGCAGGTTGCCAGCGGTGCTGTAGGTGCGGGGACAGCCCTCAAAGGTGCACTGGTAGCGCTTCACCTGAAGGACAAAATGCTGCAGGCTTAATAACTGTTAATAACTGCTGGAATCCAGACATGTCCTTTGAGACAGTCAGACATCAAAGACAAGGCAACAGATTTTCACCCCAAAGCCCCCACAAAAAATTTATTTAATTCTCTGACAACATTTCTGCTGTGAGGAAGGAGTGGCACACGGGAAAGCAGCTGGGTTTGCAGAACAGGAATCTAACAGAAGGGGGGAAAAGGAAAAACACAACCCAAAATGTTTCTAGCTAAAAATCTGATGAAACAGCTGGAAAGAACATTGAGGAGCCATCAAACCTGTCTACTACCCACATGTGTAGCACCTTCATTTTAGTCCAATGCTTCCTGCAGAGCTACTTACTTGTGGAGCAGGAAGACAAAGGAAAATGCACTGTCACAGTGCTCAAACCCACTGCTCTGGGTGCTGAATTCCCACCAACACCTTAAACAAAACAGTTTTTACCATCTCCCATTGTCTAACCACTAGCCCATTCATTACTTCACTTTATCCCAAAGAGCCTTATTCTTCCCTTCTGTGGCTACTGAAACAGTCAGTGCCTGAAGTGAAGTGGATCACATCAGGTCACAAGGACACCCAAACACAGCTGTCTCAGATTTCTCAGTAAGCCATCGAGATCCCAAGGACAATTTCACATGGAACTACATTTGGTACCGTCCCCACTTCTGGGGATCATTCAGAAGCTTCCCATGAGTAAACCTAATGAAATCTCATCCCCTCTTGTGAAGCAGAAGGAACACACTCCTGATCTGCCTGAATAAAGTTAACCTCCACCATTAATTAACAAACTATGGCTTTAATTTGACTGTTAAAGCACAGAAACCTCAACACCTAATAGTGATTAAGGAGCCCAAGAGAGGACTTGGCTAGTCACACCAGCTATAAATCCAATTCTAGACAGTTCTCCATAAAGAAAGAGAAATAGCTTCTTGGTTACTTCCAACCTGTTTTGTAGGGGACAAAACTGCCAGCAGGACTCATTTAAGAAAATTCTAGAAAGCTGAGTGTGTCCCAATCCATGGTCTCTTGTTGCTCCCACAACAGGCTGGCATTCACCTTCATTTTGCCTCAGTAAAACCTTCATATGTGGAAAACACTAAACCCTCCTGTGAGACACACAGGAGACCTTTACACAGGACACAGAAATACCACAATGTGCTGGGTTTGGCTGGGATAGATTTAATTTTCTTCATTTGTATAGAGCATGTTCTGGATGATACAGAGATGGATTTTTTTAGTGCTTCTCATTCCACCCCACCAGCAAGGGGCTGGGGGTACACAGGGAGTGGGGAGGGAACACAGCCAGCACAGCTGACCCTGACTGACCAGGGATACCCCAGACCATGGGATGTCATGCTCAGTATGGAGCTGGGCAAGGAGGAAACAATTTGTGTTTCCCAGTTTCTGTTTGCTGGAGCCCAGCTTTCCTGGGCATTGCTGAGCTCCCACCTGCCAGGGGAAGCAAGGAATTCATTCCTTCACATTTTCAACTGGTCACTCAGCATTCTCAGAGAAGGAAATAGTAATTTCACTCTAAGCAATCTGAGCACAGAGCAGTAGCACACCAGCAGCAGAAAGCACATTTTATTACATGAGGAGAGTACATCATCCTCCCCCGGGATCACCAGATCCAGTACAATTTGTGTATCAGTGCTGAAGTAAATGTTCCTTGTTACAGCTTTAAGGCAGCTGGAAATTAACACTTTACAAAACATTCCCCATGGTACACAAGGGATCTGACACAGGCAGGAACTACCTGAAAATCAAGGGAGGGTTCTGTTAAGCTTTCCAGGTGTTTATATTTAGGTCTAGAAGAAAAAGGCCAGTATTAATTACAGATTAAGCTGCTTGGTTGCCAGCTGTCACTGCCCATGTGTAAGGGAAGGTGGCAGTAGCACCATCAGCTTATTGGCCTGAACTCTTTGACAATGGCCTTGCAGCACTCCCCCTCCCTCAAAGGCCAAATGTTTATTTCACAAATCCTTCCGAGCACACCACAGGCAGCAGCAATATCACCAGCACGTTCTGAGCAGAACAAACCTTTCTGTGAAGCACCACAGCATTTAATTCTCTTTTCACATTAGCACACTGTTCATACACACAGAACCAGCAGAGATTTGATTTGATTTGTCCCTGAAAGCCTCGCAGGGACAGCAGCAAGAGCTCCAGGCTGCCACAGCACCAGGGCACAAGAGGAAACAAAAAAGGCAGCAGAGGCCAAGCCCTGGCAGGCAGGACAGGGCCCAGGGACTTTGAGGCCAAACACTCTGGCTTTTGGCCAGGGACACTGAGGTGCTGCTGGAAGAGACGTGATCCAGCATTTACCTCAGAAATGGGAACTCGTTGTGCAATATCCAGCAGGGCTGGAGAAAGCAGAGCCTCACACCCTGGTTCAAAGTCTACAGTAACTGCTCTGTTTGCCTTTAACTCTTCCTGGGCTTACCACATTCCCCCTAAATGGCTGCATTTTCTGTGTCATCCCTGAACAAACAACTGGATTTGAAATATGAAACTGCAATCGTGTTTGTTCTTACCAACACAAGTACAGTGAGATTTATAACAGAATAATAATTAAAAAAAAGCCAAAGGTGCTAAAGTGCAAAATCCCCTTTTTAGCTTCATAAATGTCGAAGGCTGACTTGAAATTCTAAGGCTTTAAAACAATTATCTCAAGTGTTAAAAATGTTGCAAGCATTTTGCAAGTACCAAAGAACAGAGCTGCTGATTTTCAGAGCTGACCCAGATGCTTGGGAGCTTTAGAGCTTTCCTTTCCTCACCTCCAGACAATTCAGCACACCTTTGAAACAGCAGGCAAAAAGGCCTTTCACACGTGCTCAGGGCTCAGTGCTTTCACATTATGGTATCACTGCTCTCTGTTCTGGGAAATTAATTCCAGAAATGGAAAATAAATTCATATGAAGCATTTCACTAGGAAATTCCACACCCTACAAGCCTTCTATAAGAAGCAAGGGTGAAAAAATGAAGTCAGTTTAATTGCACATGCAGCCACGGACCCTGTTCAGCTCCCACCCCCTGCTCTGGGAGCAGCTCAGGGTCCCACAGGGAGGAGAGCAAGTGAAACACTTCAGCAGCTGCTGAGTGGCAGCAGGAGGCTCAAACAGGCTCCCTGAACACACCTCAGCCCAGGAGCTCCCCAGCTGCAGAGCTGAGCCACCCCCAGCCCCATTTCCAGCACTCAGCCACCAGGGTGACAGCTCTGTGCTGATGAACAGGACCCAGTGTCACAGCCTGTGCCACTGGCACTGCCACCTGCACTCATCACCCCTCACATGCCTCAGGCAGGCCAAATGAGGAGCACCAACCTGTCCCCGAGCTGGTGTCACAGCCAAATTCCCCTTGCTCTTGCACCCAAACAGCAGAGCCCAGCCCCACAGTGCATCCAGACAGAATTCATCAGGGAATCAAAATTAAGAGTAAACTCCATTTTAACCATGCAGCCTGGCCTGAGCTTTCAAAACACATCAGATGGCACTTTAAAGCAGCTGCTTTAACTTTAACTTTTCTTCTCACAGGCTCCCTGTGACACAATAAAACTACAAATCACTTAAAATTTGGCATCTCACGTTCGGTACTCCAGCTCCCAGCAATGGCCTGGCCCTTAACTGTGACCTGAATGTGCCTTTTTTGAGAATGTGGCCAAACCCAGAGCAACAGCTCAGGTTGTTTCAGCTGCCTCTGACTCACTAAATAATGACCTGAGCAGAAGAAAACCTGAAGATCAGTAAAACTACACACAAGCATGTGCCAGTGCCACACCCTCCTGCCATCCAGTGCCACCAAGTGCCTTCTGGCAGCTTCCTAGGGCAGCAGGTGGTGTCAGAGGGAAGAGGGATGGCCCTGGCAGCTCTGCTGGGACACGGTTCTCCCCTGCACACTGCAAAGCTGGGGCTGGCAACCAGAGCAGCTTTATGCTCCAGTACACAAAACTCCTCAAAAACGAGCAAAACCACTGCTCCCTCCTGAAAAAACAGCAAAACCACTGCCACTTTCCTGGAAAAAAAAACAGCAAAAGTGCTGCCCCTCTCCTGAGAAACAGCAAAACTGCTGCTCCTCTCCTGAGAAAAACAACAAAACTGCTGCTCCTCTCCTGAGAAACAGAAAAACTGCTGCCCCTCTCCTGAGAAAGCAACAAAACTGCTGCTCCCTCCTGAAAACCAGTCCATTTTCAAAGCCCTGAAGGTGCACAAAGCCCAGAATCAATTGAGCCACTCACCTCCTTCCGCTTGGTTTTTGGGCACTCCGACTGCAAGGTGAGAGTTGCTCCTTCAATATTCCTTGGCATGGGAGTTGAACCAGGATTTATCGTTAGATGAATCTGATCTGGAGAAATAATATGTTGCACATAACCCTGTGACATCCCTTCATGATCTGGTATTAAATGGAATCCTTCTTCGTGACCCTCGGGTAAAAAAGGCAAGTGGTCACCGCACTGTCCTTCATCCTCCTCATCCTCCAGCACACTGTGGTCCTGCTCGATAAGCACAGTTGTCCTGTCGTATACCGTCCCGGACGAGGAGGACACCAGCCCGTTTTTGTCGGCAAACCTCATCATATTTTCATCTTGGGCTAAGTCTTCTTCCTCCGCCTCACAGCACACGGCGTTGCCTTCGGGGCTGTTCTCACCCATGGCTCCGCGCTACCGGCAGCTCCCACCGGAACGGCTCATCTGCAACGCAACGAGAGGCGGACGGGGGTCAGGCGGCTCGGCAGGGCCCCGTTCCGCCCGCAGGCACAACCCCGGGGCGGCCGGTGGCGGCGGGGCCGAGCCGGGCCGAGCGCCGCGGTCCCGCCCTGAGCGCGGCGCTACCCCCACCCGGCCCGCTGCCGCCAACAGCCACTCCCGCTGCCCGCGCCAACCGCGCTGCTCCGTGCTCGGCTCGCTCGGCTCGCTCAGCCCTCCCTCCGTCCCTGCCTCCCCCTGCCCCGCTCACCGGGTGCCGGCGGCTCCTTCCCCGCCCCAGCGGCACCATGATCGCCGCGACCGCGCTTCCGCTTCCGGCCGCGCGCCGCACGCCGGGAGCGCCGCGCCCGCCGCGGGGGCCGACGGGAAGGGGGAGGGCGGGCGGGAGGAGCGCAGCGCCCCCTAGCGGCCGCGCGCCCCTCACGGCCCTCAGCCACCGCGGAAAGATGTTTTTATTTAAATAGCAGCGGCTTAAAAACTCGCCTCGTTTTAACAAGTTAAATAAAGTACAGCGAACATATCAGCTCTCTTTTTTTTTAACTAGTCTACATACAGCTTATTGATAAATTTGATGTACTTTGCGGCGTAATCAGGTGTCAAACTGCCTGATCTCCACCTTCGAAAGCAATAGATTGTATAAAACACTGTGATAGCAAAAAAGTGCCAGTATAATGTCCTCGTTTTAATAAATAAAATACAGTGAACATATCAGCACTCTTTTTTTTAAAATTCATCTATGTACAGCTTATTGGGAAATTTGATGTACTTGACAGCGTAATCAGGTGTCAAACTGCCTGATCTCTGCCTTCGAAAGCAAGATTGTATAAAACACCATCATATCAAAAAAAGTGCCAGTATAATGTTAAATAAAATACAGTGTACATATCAGCTCTCTTTTTTTAAACTCATCTATGTACAGCTTATTGGGAAACTTGATGTACTTTGCAGCTTAATCAGGTGTCAAACTGCCTGATCTCCGCTTTCAAAAGCAACAGATTGTATAAAACACCGCCATATCAAAAAAAGTGCCAGTATAATATACAAAAAAAATATATATTTTTTTACAGCAATTCAATGTCTACAAGTGAGATTAACCGCATCTGAGGTTCATGATAAATGATCTTCTCTGACGAGGAACTGGTGGATAAACTGCTGCGCTTTCCTCTTGGCAGCGATGTCAGGCGTGGCGTGGCCGGGGGGCGGCCGCAGCAACAAACCCCCGAACACGCTGGCTGCAGGGAAAGCACACGGACACACGGTGAGAGCAGCAATCGAGGCACCCCTGTGGGAACCCAGCACGTCCCTCTGGCTGCCCCGGCTGGCCCAGACCCTGGCAGGGGGCTCAAAGACCTTGGCACAAAGTCAAAAACACCTGTGAGTTCGATTTTAGCCAGTGGAAAAAGCTGCCAGTTCTGTATGAGGAATTACAAGCCACAAGGGTTTGAGTAGTGTGGTAGTTGAGTTAACACAGGGTGGAAAAGTAGAAATTTGGGGTTTTTAGACTAGGATTCAGGGGGATTTGGGCATATCCTAGCCTTCTTCTCCTTCTTCTTGCTCTCCATGTCTTGGTGTGATGGTGACACTTTGCTATTGGTTTAAGGTAGAGACAAACTGTCTAATGTAAGTGATAGGTATTGGCAGGTTATTGTAAACACAGTACACGTAGTTTTTGGTATAAAATGTAAACACCACCCTGAGGGCACACAGAATGCCATGGCCGACTTGTTAGAGCTCAGCAGGTCAGAGAAAGAATGTTATATATAAGGAAAAATAAACAACCTTGAGAAGCTGACTCTATGCATTCAGGCTCCTTCTTTGGCTGCACAGGTTGGGAAATGAGGACTTTTACACTCTTGGGGTCATCCCATCACCCAGACCCTGAGAGACCCCAGGGAGGAGAGCCTGGCTTTGGTGTGAGGCAAGATAAAGCTGATAGTCCCCACATCTCTGGGCTGCTTTCCCAGACTCCTGTTTTTCTATGGGCTATTTGTTTCTAATAAAAGGTTCAAAGCACTACAAGCCACCACTGCACTGGGGTATGAAGTGTTTTGTTGCCCTACCTGTGCAGCCCCTCTGAACAGAGCGTTATTTTGCTGGCCTTACCAAGAATATTCACATCCAAATGGTTCTTCCCTGAGTTCTTCAGTAGCTCTCGTAGAAATGCCATCAGATATTCGAACACATTTTTATGGCATGCTGGTAGGGCAGAGATAATCTGAGAAAGGAAAAACACCAACATTCACACTGCAGACACAGCAATGCCTTCCAGCTGCGCCTGCCCCCAAAACCCCCCACTCTGCAGGTGCCAACAGCTCTTTACACCCTAAAAGCACCAGTTCCAGATCATTTCTATTAAGAGAGGATTACTGAGAGCAAAACTGGGTGATGGGTGTAGCAGGGGCCAGTTTCCCTGCCCTCCCTGTGGAACTGGTCTAGCAGAGGCCAGTTTCCCTGCCCTCCCTGTGGCACTGGAGCTGGTCCCTCGGGCAGCCAGCAGTACCTGACAGCTCAGCCCGTAGTTGCTGGCACTCTCCAGACAGGAGCTATAGAACCTGCAGCAGATGACAGGCTCAGGAAGGCTCTCCAGGAACAGCAGCAGGGCCTCTGCCACTGAGTGGTTGCTGCCCACTGATCCACTGGTTAAGGAAGAGCACAGCACGACCTAGGGTGCTCCTATTTCTGCTGAAACATGAATGAATTTTGGGTTAGGTGTCCCAGAACTGTGCCTACAGCTCACAGCTTTGGGTTAATCCCCTGGCCTCCACACGAGCTGCTGCTGTTAGCAGCTGGGCACTTGTGTCATTCATTGACATCGCCAGGACTCAGCAGAGGATGACACAGAGCCACGAGGAAATGTAGAGCTCAGGTACCCCAGGAGGAGAGACAGAAGCTTAAAAACCTCTCAGAGTTTTGGCACTCTGGCATAGTGAGCCTTCCTTGACACCAGTCTGAAAGGATACAGAAAGTATCGTACATTCCCTTGTCCAAACAGTCTCGGATTTGCTCAAATTCAGATCTGAGGCCTGGCTGCTGAAACAAGTCCTCCTGCAAAGACAACCCTTTATCAGTACAAGGAAAATAGAACAATTGTGGGTAAATAGAGCAATGTTCCTATAATCTGCCTGGGAAGTCTCTCCAAATTGGTGGTTGTCACCCAAGTCTGCTTGATAGCCGGACACTGCTGGTACCTGGGCACACAGACACGGTCACTAGCACCAAACAGTACAACCTGGGGCATCAGGACCACTTATCTCCATGGCCTTTGGCCAAACACACCCAGCTCGTGGTGACTGCTATTACCAGTATCTTCTTCCAAACTTAACCCAATGCAAACATCTCGTTTTGTGTTTCCAGTGCCAACCTGCTGGGAAGCGTTGCGATTCAAGTGATCCACCATCATCCACAGCTCTTTTGGGATGTCCATAGGCTTTTCCTCTTGGGCAGGATCATCACTCATGTCTACTGGCATCAGGGTCTGAGGGAGGGCAGTGTGGGCAGGAGAGAGACAAACAAAAGGTAGCTAGCCAAGTTCTTATTCAACTTGGCAAAAATACTTCACAAAGCTTATACCTGAGAATTGAGACTTCTTAATAAAAACATACAGGCCTTAGCACCTAGTTTTATTGCTCTTGTGTGTTTGGAAGGGAATCTTGTCTTTAACTCACAAGTCTCCGAATGGATTCTGCTGACATGTCCTGGATTGGTTCCCTCATGTAACACAGTGTATGGATGGGAGACCCAAAGCAACTTGGCAAATAGTTGCCTGTTATGGATAGAAAATAATCCTTCCCATTGACAAGATGCAAGACTAAGATATCTTCAAGTTTTTCCTCTCCAGAGTTTAAGCGAGTAGCTGTTGATTTATTAACAAACACCTCCAGCTCAACTGTGATCTCAGCATCTGCCAGAAGATGATAAAAAACCCACACTCAGTTACAATCAGCATTAAACCAACAGCCTGCAAACAGGCACAGCACTCTCAGAAGTGCAGAGGGAACTAAGCCAGAAGGGGATAATATCAGCAGTAGCACGAGACAAAAGGAGGAGCTCACCTGAGAGCAAGAAGCCCTTACTGGGATTAGCAGTCAGCCACTCCTTGCAGTAGGTTTCCTCATCTGGTTTGCTGATAAATTGGAACTGGCAGGGCACTTGGCCATTGCGGATTGTAAACCTCTCTACCTGCAGCTGCATGTATTTAACATCCTCAAAATGGATCTAGGAACAAATGTCAGTCAACATCATCAGCCGATTCCATCTCCTGTGGTTTAATTTTTAAACAGCAAGACAACTGGATTAACCCCTTGCTGCCACCCCCCTCTCCTCCAGGAGTGCATAGGATCACATGTGCATACTCTGAATGCCAAAGTCCCTTCTGTCAGGGGGCCCTTTAAAACAAATGCTGCCCTCAAATAACTACAATAAAATTGAGAATGAGATAGCTGTGGCCTCAAATGTCTCCTGGGCTTATCTTTATAGTCCCAACACACAAAGCAAATGCTGGTTTGTGACCTTCTCCAGACCCTTACAATTTTACATTTTATGTTTGAAAGCACAAGTCAGAGCAAGGGTCACAAACCACCTTTTTACTTTCTCTCTTCCCACTTCATGGAATTGCACATCTTGTGTTTCAGCCTTGGACTGTGAATGGAATTCACCAACATCTAAATATGAGCAAAGATTCCTAGGGCTTGTAAACACAGAGCAACTGGAAGTCAAAATATTCTACTTTTTGTAACCAGACCCAAGGGTCTAGGATCCATCTTGTGCTGCTGGGCCCTAGGGTTGCTCAGTTCCTTCAGGGAGTGCTGGCACATGCCCATGCCCTACCTCTCTGCGGGACAGTGTCACTGAGGGAATGTTGGCATTCTCCAGCTTATCCAGGGAGCGCACTATTTCCTCAAAGGCTTTTCGGTAGAGCTCTTCATTCACAACCTTCACCTGAAAAGGACACACACTGCACCAGCTAGCACTGACTGTGCCTCTGCAGGACAGCTGGAACACAGCTCCAAACATGTCATTTGATTTTAGCAGCACACTAGGGTGTACAACACAGGGAATGGGCTGAGCTGTTTGGAGCACTAATCTCCAAGATCTTCTCATGATCCAACAGTAAAGGACCTTGCCATAACTAACAAGAGTTACCCAGTCAGTACTAGATCCACCTTTTTTTTTTCCCTCAGACAAAACAAAAAGCTAAACAAGACACTACTGTGTTCCCAAAGAACACTGACAGATATTCAGGCTTTGTCCAGCTTAACTGCAGTATCATTTACACAGCCCTTGCTTAGTGTGGTCAACAATCCCATCTCTACATCTGATCAGCCCACCTTTCAAGCCATTGTTCTCTGCGATGCCA